ACTAATCTAAGGCCTTCCCAATGCCCATCAGGCAAAAAAAATAAATAAATAAAACAAGAAAGTTAACAGATTTGCTTAAGATGCCACAGCTATTTTGTAACAGAGCTAGAGTGGGAATTCAAATTTCCCAAGACCTAGACTTGAGTACTTCACATATTATCTTTTGTCCTAATGGTGACCATTCACAAATGATATGTTTATATGTTAGAGTGGGTACTCACACATAAGTATCACTTGATGAAGTATATTTGCTAAACTAGGTAACTAAAATGCCTCGTATCTGGTAAACTAGCTTTTTACATAATAACTGTACTGTAGATATGGTCTATGAACAAGCTAGTTCCCTATAAATAGATAAGAGCAGCAATGCTATGTATCATACCCTGTTCTGTTGTGCTAGCAGTGGTGGTGGTTTGGGGCTGTGCTATTTGAGAGCAGCCCAGTCTAAAAATAATCACAGATTTTTTTAAATGACCCATTACATGCTGTTTGAGACAAGAGCAAAATATGTATTTTCTGATTACTCTCCTAAAAAAAATTCTAAGTTCAAGAAATATAACAATTAGTCAGAGGTTTAGATTCAAAGTTGATTAAATGGTTCTAGCCTTGTCTTAGAGAACAGGAGGTTATGTAAGCAAGAAGAAATAATTATTGATGTCTTCCTCTTGCCCCAAAGAGGCAGGTACCTCTGGACTGCTACTAGAAAGAAAAGTCTATGTATGGCGATACCTCATTTTCCCTGCCTAGTGACTGATAACTCGTACCAGAGAGAATATTTTCATCCTCAGTTATCACTGCATAAATTTGTATTACATGGTTTCCTGCTGGTGTCTTTAGTCGGGAAGAAACTGTGACCAGTAAACTAAAGAAACAGAATCAGTTCCATTTGGATGATAATCCCTGTTCTTACAGCACTCTCTCTGGTCCTGAGCTTGCTCTTCACTGAAAGCCTGATAGCTAATTCACTGTCCTTAGCAGTATTCCACAATTAGTTAACACACAGCCCTTAATAACCTCAGTGCATCCTAAGGCCTTCACTTACAGTTCTGCTTAGGATGGAAAAACATATGTATAACAGATATACTCAGCCTCCTAAAGTCTTTTATAATTAGGGAGTCAGTATTTCCTTTTGTTTCCACAGCCAAGACAACTGAAGAAAATTAAAATGACGTGGAAGACATAAGCCATACATTCACCTCATCCTTCTCCTACTTCTTCTTCCATGAACCACACCCTATGGTGTAAATGGTTAATTCCCCAAATATCTTACTTTGCAGCACATTCAGCCTGAGCTTGGGGTTATCCTTCCTAACTGAAACACAGTTTTTGACAGTAAGGCTAATTTGAAACAAGTTACAAAGGGAAAGTTTTTCCTGAAATGCTCCCTTCAAGGCATATGGGTGGTCAGAGTATTATCTCAATGTCTTCTTCATTAACCACAAGGTCAGATATTTGAATCTCCAATTAATTAGTTTCTCCAGTAGCTTGCGTAACATACATGAGTGATCTTCATCCAGTTCACTTAGACAAAACCCATCATGACAGTTGGCACATTTTTGGCATTTGTCAGTAAAGTGGGGAAAAAGTAAATGACCCATGTGGACAAAATGGGAATCTAATGAGGGCCATTGGATGAAAAGTGTAAAGTGGCCTCCATCTACTGCAGAACAGGGTGCCTGAGTGTCTGCCAACATCATCTGCAAGAGAAAGTCAACCACAAAGTTCCTCCACTGTGGTATAAACCTCCACGCTCATTTATTTAGCTGTTCATGATATGCAAAGACTATGAATGTCAGTTTACACTGGAATGTTATTAAAGACTACTATTAATAGAATTAACAATATTTAGAAGTTTTAAGCAAACGGTGACTCTAGGAAACAAAAATAATTTCCATCCCTATTTATTTTATCCTAAAAGGATATATAAAAGTATTCTATTTTAAGACTATGTTTAGACTACTTTTCTGTTATCCAAAATACTTATGAGCTTTTCTCATAAAAGCTCTAAAACTGCTAAATGTAATCTTTAAAAGAAAGGGTTAACAACTCAAATCATAAATTTTCATATAAATGTACTTATATACGACAGATGTTCACACAGAAGGTTGAGATCATATTAAAAATTTTTGATGTGTTTGTTTTATATGGGGATTAGCTGTGTAGAAGCATAGGAGATGATGAAACTCTAGCCAGCTGAGAGGTAAAAGACATTAATCCATGTGAATTTCTAAGTAAAGTGATATCTTCCTCCAACATTTTGTTAATGTCTTCATCAGACACATAAATGCAGGTCAACCACATGACCACCATTATTTCCTTTTAAGGAATTCAAGGGATTTGGAAAGTGAAAAAAACTCAAAAGCATTTCTGATGTTTTATCGTTGTAATATACTTTCTATATGATGGCACAGATTCTAAACTAGGTAAATAAATGGAGATTAAAATTTTCAGTCTGGGCGAGGTGGCTTACACCTGTAATTGCAGCACTTTGGGAGCCTGAGGCAGGCAGATAATTTGAGGTCAGGAGTTTGAGACCTGCCTGGCCAACATGGTGAAACCTGGTTTCTACTAAAATCACTAAAACTAGCTGGGCATGGTGGTAAGTGCCTGTAACCCCAGATACTAGGGAGGCTGAGGCAGACAAATTGCTTAAACTCAAGGGATGGAGGTTGCAGGGAGCCGAGATAGTAACACTGCACTTCGGCCTGGACAACAAAGCAAGACCGTCTAAAAATTAAAAAAAAAAAAAAAAAAAAAATTGAAGTAGATGAAAAAAGGAGCCAGATGCTTCAAATATGAACACCTGAAAAATGACTACAATTTTCAGACAAGCTGATGTGAACTATGTATGTATATTCACAAATATGTATATTTTCCACAGTGCATATTATAGCACATATAAACATAGTCTCTAAGATTCCTAACAGCTCTAAAATCTAATTTCTAACTCCTGTTCTTTTTCCCCTAATGTCTTACTCTTGCCAATTGTTAGACCATTCCTTCCCTTAACTTTTTAAATATTTTAAATATATTATTTTTAAAACCCATTCATATAGTTCAACTACCTGTAGGTCACAGACTATGATGTCCACCCTCAATGCCCGGGTTTACTGTTGCTCATTGGTGGTAGCTGACTTGATTGCTTTAGAATTGGTGCTTCTTAGCCCATCTGGGTATCAATGACCTTCTCTAGCGTCGTGTGCCTGGATTATCGGAATGTCTCTGTGGGGTGAACACTATCACGGGTGTCTGTTGCATACTCTATGGGATTCACTGTTTGTACCAGCTTTTATGTTAAACTGTTTGGTCCTGAGTATTGCACAGTAGGAATAGCGCTAGAAGGCTTACCTGTATGCAGAAAGCTGCCCCTCTTACTCCCAACTTATTTTATATATGTATGTATCTTGCTGAAGTATTAAAACTCCAGCACTAAAGCATATGGTCCATTTGGTTATCTTGGGTTATTATATTACAATTGTCTTTTCTGTGGGAAATCCCTCCTTGTTTTTAGCACCTGGAAATTTCTATCTCTTGTTTGCAAGCCTAACTATGCTTTTATTTTCAGATACTTTGCCAACATTTCTATGTGCTGGTCAGGGAATGGGGAACTTTCTGCAACTTGGCTTGTCGTAACAGCCAGAAACGTAGCTCAAGTCTGACTTGTTTGTTTTAAAGCAGCATCTGTTATATGCTTTTAAAAGATATTCATCCAACTGTCAATATTTACCTGCAACTTAATAAGGTGTTCATATTATTTCAAACATATTTAAGGAAGTATACGTAAATAATCTCATTTTCTCAGCCTCTTGAATTAACTAATTAATTTTGCTTCTTAGATAGCATGTGTGTGTGTGTATTTAGTTTCAAAACCACCAGGTAAATTTGGCCTTCATTACTAATTACTGCTGGCCTCCAAATAAGTAAGTTCTTGACAATGTCAATAGGGTGTACCTCCCTTGAGGGAAACCAAGATGTTTACAAAATCAAACCTTTTTATGTTATAAAAGATACAGAGTAAATCCATCCCTCCATGTGAAAACAAATGAAATAGAGGGGAAATGTACTTAAACTATGTAAGTTCCTCTATGAGTCTGACCCTTTTCTTTCCAATTTCCTTCATCTTAGGAAAGTCTATTCTTCTAAATTCTAGAATACAGCAAAATACAACAAAACAAAACAAATGAGTTGTGTGAGGGAGATAAAGAGATAAAGGCACAGAAGAGCTAATCTGGAAATGTCAACAGCTAGGTGCCTAATTGGGAATGTTCGTATCTCTACACAGAAGGCTGGATTAGAAACATACAACACGGTCTTCATCACTAGCCTTTACTCTCCAGCACTCCCACTGCAAAGGAACTCTACAAAGTGAACACACTGTACTGGAGATTTGGCAGCTCACCCCGAGCTTTGTCAAACTGTGTAAGCAACATTGTTGGAAAGAAAGAAAGGGATTTGTCAGCCCAGTTATTTACATCAATACATGTTGGTTCAAGGAAGGTAACAGACACACATCAAACATACTTTTCACATAAGACAGATGTGTTTCTTTTACTTGGTTCTGACCAATTGCTTAAGGAAAGCTCATCTTTAGGTTAATTTTGCAAATATCAATGTCAGCTGTGGTAGTTAATAAAAACGTAGCTGCTGAACGTGATATGAAAAATCCATGCACAAGTAATGCCAGCATACAAAAGCGTACCATATCCTTCCTGTTTCCTTTCTAAATGCTCTGCCAAAATCAAACCAGTATCTGGCATTTGAAATCAATTCTTTTCTTGGCTTTCTTACCTCTGATTTCCCCCCTGAACTCTAGTTCCATCAAGACCCATAACTAGAGAAGGTATCCATTGTCTAATTAAAGTTCAACTCTTATAAACATTTTATTTAACTGCATTTCCCCTTTAAGCATCATCATAATGCTAATCTTTTTAATGATGCTACAAAAGAGATAACAGAATTGCAACAATGGCACAAACAACAACCTTCACTTGAGCACTTACCCCGTAAAACGGTGAGTCTGGTGGATACACTTATTTCTCCCACATTATTTGAGGCCACACATTCATAAATGGCCTCATCCCTCGGAGTCCGTAAGGGTTGTATTCTGAGAACTGATCCAGACCCATCGTCAAACTCTATTACCTATTAGAGGAAACAATAGCTGTCACAGGTGTTGTTACAATTGTCTACCTCTCAGCTAAACCTCTCAATGCAGTGTTGGACCAGCCATTAGGCTCAGAATAAACTAGGAATCATTCTGAATCTGAATTTTGATACAGTGGTGAAAAAATATCTGGTCTAATTTAATGAATCTTTTACTAAACAAGGAGAAAGACATGCAACTACATATGCAAAACGTGGAAATTTCTAGTTCCTACTAAAAACTCCCAGGGTTTACTCACTAAAATATTTCATTATGTGCATCTAGGCCAATTTGATTCTATTAACTTTGCAAGAGGCTTGAAGCTATGATGGCTAAACTTCTCAAATTATTCTTTCTCTGACAGCACATATACAAATGTGGATTCATTCAATAATGAGACTATAAGGCAAAGAATTAATGCACGCCACCTCAGATAGCTCTACTGGTTTAAACTCTAATCCTGAACAGTATAGGTGGGCAAACCATGAAGAGAAACCCCATAAATCTAGTACTTAGGGAGCCGAGACAGCTTTCACAACCCAAAAGCCTGATGGCATACATTAATTTTGCCATAAATCATTCCAGTATTTGTTCTAGCTTAGCATTTTCTGCATTTGTAGAGCATTCTTGCTGTAAAACGGAGTCTTGCTTCACCAGGCAGAAAATTAATGTGCTAAACACTAAGCCTGAATTCACCATCATTAGGAACTCTTCTGTGAAACAGTTTAGTGACACTGATAATCCTAGATACTTGTTAGCTAATTCAAGTACCGCTTAAAAAGAAAAAATATGATGATTATGATACTAACAAATAAGATACAATACTATGGAGTCCACTAGCTATCTTTTCTGTAACTGTGCTGCATTCCTTCAGCTGTTCACTGAGTTGTGTCTTTTTTTGCTTGTATTTCACTGTGAATATTCCCGTGTGCCTAAATTATGAATAAACTGAGATTGCCTTATAAATATATTTATGGGATGCTTAATTCCTGATTTTGTGTGTATGTTAACATAGAGAGAAAGGACATTACTATTTTCAAAATATATCCACTTCAATCTTTGTGCATTCTATTTCTCTCCAAATTCACAAAAAGTATCCAAAATGGCTCATTTCCCAATGCACCACAATTTATTTTCGACTCTATTAAGCATACATTTTAAAATAAATCTACTATGCATCTTAGGAAAGAAAAGTTTCATAGTTTCATATTGGATGCTTTGTTAAGCATTTCATAATTAAAAAAAGTTATTTATGAACATTTCATGATTTAGTATAGGGAAAGTTTTAAGCAACTACAAAACCATTTAAATGTTGATTAATTTATCAATAAATGTCATTGTATGTTTAGGTTTGTGAACTATTTCCTAGATTCAAACCTACCCCGTTACAACATACAATATACCACACATTACAAGCCAGTGATATAATTTCCAGTCTGAAAATAATCAGTATTGATTTCATGCCTGCCATGGACCAGACACCCCATTTAGCACTGGGGACAGAGACGGAGCAAAAACAGTCACCGTCTGCTGCTCTCATGGGCCGTATAGACTAGTGAAACCAAATATATACACACACTGTTAAAGACAGTAAAGATTTCCAACCCAGAACTTGATAGTCTGATAAAGCTGCTTTGTGTAAAAAATAATTCATTTACGCCAGAGGTGTTTTTATGACTCTTGTCGGGAATTATGTACTGAGGAGAAATAAGTACATAATTCTGAAATATTTAGTATTAAATTTCTGTTACACGATTTTGTCAAGAGCCACTGTCATTAGCAAGCAGGATGTCAAACTTTTCTTTAACAAAAAATTAACTTTGTTTAAAAATTTTTAAATGTGCAGCAAAGATGCATGCATACCTCATTTTCTACATGACACAGGAAACATTTTCTAAATATTTAAGATGTTTTATACGTAAATAAATTATATTTTAATAAGCGATTTTTCAGACATAATTTCAAACTTCTCACTTATAAACTACAATCCAGATTTCCAATTTCACCACTGTAATTAATTAGGTTTTCTACACATTTGAACCCCTGATCATCCTGTGAGTTCCTATGAAAATAAGTAAAATAAATTTTTTCTGAATTTTGTAGTTGCCATATTTCTTTTAACTTAGAAATTGCCTTTAATCTGCCAAACTGCAAATTAGGTTACAAAGGAGATTAGAAACTCAGGTAAAACGGATGCGTGTTTCATGATTTCAGGCAGTTTGGGGGTACCGGTAGTCCCTAAAATTAAAGCTATCCTTTTCATGTCTTAAATGATGGGCATGCTATCGTGTGCCTCTCTGTGTAGCTTTCAGTACAGCTTATTGCCTATATTTCTCTTCCAGCATGCGCAAATTTCTAAACCATAAGCCTTCTCACAAACACTCAAAAAAAGAATCTCCGATTTATATTTCACCACCTTCAGTGCACTGAGCTCTCTTGAATACAGAAAATCAACTTCTTCAATAGGCTTCTCTGCAATATCAACCTATTTGGGTATGTTTCTTTCAGAGTAATGCAGTACTTTAAAACACTGGAACAAATTTTTCATTCTATTTCACACTACTTGTAAAACACAGGTGTGAGGGGCAGTGGACAACTTCATTTGTTGCTCAGCATCCATTCCCATTCTTGTTGGTAATGGGATTTAAATTTCCTTTGGAGAAACACTGCTCTTTCATTCTAAGCCATGCGATTGGATGGAACTGTCTTCATTCCCAGTACAGAGGTAGATTCCAACTGGCTTAAATTAAGAAGGCTACACTGTCCACCTATCCACACAAATTGGCTCAGGGATGAACAAGTAACTTAATAGGAACCAATGAGATGAGAGGTTTCTGGAGGAGACAAGCCTTCATGCATCCAACAGACGTGGTCCTATAAGGATGTAGAGCTCCATGTATGAAACTGACAGACGGATCCTAGGAATACCACTGAGCCCTTGCACAAGTAGAAACAAAAAATCAGTCCTTGAACTCCCCAATTTCCTTTTTTAAAAAGCCATTTAGAGTTACATTTTCCATCATTTGCAATGTAAGGAATGCCATATTTCAGTGACACCTTATGTAAGAGTAAAGTAAGCAAGTAACATACAAACCAAAGATAGAGCAGATACATTCTTCCCTCAGAGAAACAGAACAATGGACCTAATACCTCAAATCTCTGGTTGCTGACTTTCTTTCCTTTTTTGTTCCACACAATTTTAGGTCTTGGGTCTCCCGTAGCTTGGCAGATGAAAGAGGCAACTCCGCCAGAGACCCCTGTCTGATCAACGGGTGTTCGTGTAAACCTTGGAGGTGCTGAAATTAAAAAAAAATCAACATCACAGTTAAATCGAAAACTGAAACACAGACTATTATCCTGCTGCCACTGCTCTTCCCACCACCATCAAACACACTGCCGTCAGGACATACATTTTTAAAATGTACTATGGAATTAAAAAATTAGAAAAGCACCTTTTACTTGTGAGGGTAGTTTAAAGGGGAAGGAGGTAACTTTCTGGTCAAGTTATCTGTTAGTGCTTTTATTGCTGAAATCTGTATTAAGGTAGAGATCCAATAACATCCGAAAAGCAACATCACACATTAATTTTTATTACCAGTATAAAAAAAACCCAATTTGTCCTCTGTAACAAAATGAGCTCATCAATCAAAGTGAGTAAAATTTTAGCGCTTGCTTTGATGCCACTATCAGGCCACTGCCAGAAAGCAGCACTGCCACTGCTGAGCTATTAAAATTAGTGACATTTAAGAAGAATTCTAGGAAATTTTAAAGAGACAAGAAATATAGCCCTGATTTAGAAAGTTTGGCAAGAAATAGAAATAGAAGAAAATGGTAAATCGACTCTCTAACCCAGATACTGTGAGCTGTCTTGCTTGAAACCTAGCTCCACAATTTGCATAAAAGAAGATGAGTCAGGAAGCCTCTAAAGTCATAGCAAAGCAAAGAATTTTTTAAAAGAAAGATATAGACTCAAAGATTACTAAGGCTAGAAGGATAGACATTGGAAGCTTGTTTAACATCCTCCATCTCCTTTAAATGTTCCTGACATTCTTCTCCCCTTAAAAACTTATTTATTTTTCATCTTGGATTTCAAGATCTAGATATCTATCATACAAGAAAGACATAAAATGTAAATGAATATGCACAAATTTATTCATCATATCGTATCATGGGTTTAGCATCAGTGTAAGTAGTCGAAACATTAAACAGTAGGGGTTTTTGTTATAGTGAAATAAACTATGGCATGAAGATGGAACATCATAAAAGTAGTGTTATATTTATAAAGTCTGTATTCTGTCACATGAGAAATGCTTCAGTCAATAATAAGCCACAAAAGTATAATATAGAGCGATATGTAATGGACAGCAGATAATAAAAAATGCACACACACACAAAGATTGGACAAAACAAATGAAAACACAAATAATGGTGTTCAGGAGGAGGTATTCTAATTATTTTCTGACTGCTTTCCATCTCTTATACTTCCTTGAGTTTTTACAATCATGTTCTGGTTGAAAACGTTTTAGAGTACCCAAACGTTTTACTGTTCCTTTTTTTAAATTTTTTAATCCTTGCTACAGATTTTCTCTTCTCCCTTACTGTGTTCTAGTTACATGTCATTGAAAGTAGTTTTAAATAACCATAGCTAAAACTGATTTTGAAAACAATCCTTAGATTCTAAAAAAGAAGAAAGTCATAACAAAGTTCGTTCTTCTTGGCTCGTCATCACTATTTTCTCTGTGTTGATTTCACGTTTCCCGCATGGTGTTCCCATTGGGTTTGTGGTGTGTTCTGACTCTGCTTGGTTTTCTTGGAGTCAGGGAAGCTGGATTCCTATCTAAACTCCACCATTATGTATATGGATAATCTTGGAGGAAAAAAATCATCTAACTTTACCATTTCTTGGTATGACGCATGAAATACATTAATTTACAGGAATTCCAAAACTATGACACATGAAATAAATTAATTTGTAGAAACTGCTTCCAGTTTCAAGGTTTTCTAGCTTTATATATTATTTTCAAAAGAAGAAAGTTTAGGAAAGTCATATTATTTTCAATGCTGGTCCTAGAGAATGAATTTCCTCATCAGCAAATTCAACTTATAGGTGATCCTGGAACTGGTGAGAATACGGGAACTTGCTTATGTTCAAAAATATTAGGAGAGCAAAACAGGCTCTAACAACCCCACCAGATATCATAACCCAGCATCTCTGTGTAGCAATAGGGACTAGATGATTCCTGGGAGCTGTGGGAAGGACTCAAATTTTTCTGTTATTGTTGAGATGGAGCCTCACTATGCTGCCAGGCTGGAGTGTAGTGGCACAATCTCGGCTCAGTGCAACTTCCACCTCCCAGGTTCAAGCGATTCTCCCGCCTCATTCTCCTGAGTAGCTGGGACTACAGGCGCACGCCACCACACCCAGTTAATTTTTATATTTTTAGCAGAGACGGTCTACTAAAAATGTTGGTCAGGTGGTCTCTATCTCTTGACCTCATGATCTGCCCGTCTCGGCTTCCCAAACTGCTGGTATTACAGGCATGAGCCACCATACCTGGCATCAAAATAATTTAAAATTGACTAACAGTGAGATTACAAAACACTGTATATTGATGTCACTTTTCTGGAAACAAATAAATATATTATAGGTTTTTATATTTATCTTTCTGCTGTTTCAAACAATGCAAATTGGTAATAACTACTTGCTTGTCAGTATTCAATGGAGAAA